GCAGGAGCCCAGGGGATGGCCAGAGCAAACGCAGACAGGGTTAGGTCTAGAGGCGAGCTCTCTGCCTGTGGAGATGGATTTTAGCAATAAGCTAAGAATAAAGTATCCAAGAAAAGCACACAACTCCCCAAGGCCATCAGCATTTTGCAGGAAACAGGAGAGGTGTTTTTTGGGTTTTTTTTGGGGGGGGGTTAGGTTTGTCTTCAAAAGCACTGTATTAAAAGCAAATGACTTTTTAATCACTGGTTTACTTACAATATGGGCATTTTGATACAACACAAGAATAATTTGTTAAGCATGCACCTGATTCATTTATTCAGAATGAAACCTTTTATTAAGTTCCTACAGTGCTCCAGAAATGAACTGTTTATAAAATCAAAGATCCGTGTAGTCACTAAAAAGATGCGACTCTACAGATTGTGACCTGAAAAATAAACAAACTGGTACTAAGTCCATGAGGAAACTCCCTTGAAATTCCAGGGACAGTATGGAATATTCCAGAATGACCATGGACCTGGCTACCAGAAAACTTCCATCCCCAGGACCAACTCTGACACTAGCTGTGCTCATTCAACTTCCCCTTCGTGCCTTCAACAAAGTCTTGCTGTGTGCTTGCCGGGCTCGAGGCTGAGCTCGCTTGTGGCCTGTGCAGAAAACAGATATCAAACAAAGTCAGTCATCGTTCGAGAAAAGTGTTTGGAAAGCAAAGTGGAAATGCAGTGTGAGTCTATGACCAGGGCGGCCTAGCCCGGAGAGCCGCCTGGAGGAGGTGAGCTTAGGGCAAGGACCTGAAGGATGAGCGGGACGAGTGTGAGCCCAGGACATCGGGGAGGCTAAGCGCTCAGTTTCCCAGGTACAGAATGAATGAGGTGGGCTCCGGAGCGATAAGAGCATGTGCTCGGTCCCTACTGTCTCAGTTTTCTTTTTTCTTTTTTTTTTTTTTTTTTAAGATTTTACTTATTTATTTGACAGACAGATCAGAAGTAGGCAGAGAGAGAGGAGGAAGCAGGCTCCCTGCTGAGCAGAAAGCCCAAGGTGGGGCTCGATCCCAGGACCCTGGGATCATGACCTGAGCTGAAGCCAGAGGCTTTAACCCACTGAGCCACCCAGGTGCCCCCCTACTGTCTCAGTTTTGACATGATACCTGAACTGACTCTCGGTCCTCACAACTGCCACGTGAAATAGATAATCCATTATCCCCATTGTGGAGGGAGGCATGAAAGCCCGAGTGATTTGCCCCAATGTGGCTTGTAAGTGGCACAGCCGGCAGATGGGGGCGGGCGGTCTAGCTTCCGAATCAACACCCCTGACCGTGGGACACCCCACTCCGCAAAGCTGCTGCGTTAGAGCTCTGTGAAGTCTCGTAGTTCCGATCATATTTTTAAAACCCAACTAAAACACAAAACCTTTGATATATATCACCAGTGCCTCTGGATAGGGGCTCTCTCTCTCTCCGCAGAAGGCCCTGGGAGCCCAAACAGTTCCTAATCTCCTCAGCCTTCCCCTACCCCTCCCCTCTCCAAGAAAACCTAAGGGTTAAAAGAACTCAAGACCTTTCCAGTGCTTCTTGTCAGGCCCAAGAGAACAAAGAAGCGTCCCTCTCTTCCCCGGCATTTCTCTTGAGCACAGAGGGCCCTTTCCCCATACTGATGAATGAGTAAGGTCATGGCCTTGGGAGCGGCAGCCCTGACGTCCGTCCAAACACGGGCTCTCGCTCCCTTTGATCGTGTGTCTCTCTGTCCTGGTCCCACGGGGCCCCATGGCTTGTCTCTTCCTGCTTAGGGAGGGCGGTATTGTGTGACCCTGTTATGTTTTGTCTGTACAGTTTGATTGGATTTTGTTATTTTGAATGAGCAGATGAATCTCAAATTAGCCTCTTGGTATAATCACACTTTTCACTGATGGATGTTAAGCGTCAATGCTCCATCGACAACAGGCAAATCGTCAGGTTTTGGCATCGTGCTGGGTAAGCACGTTTGAGGGAAAGAGAAAAGAAAAAGCAAAAACTCTTCAACGTGGAGCATCTCAGGTGATCCTAACACGGGGTAATGAAGAAACAGGACCATACACTTCTTTTGTAAAAGGTCGCCGTCGCAGTCCTCTTACAGCAAAAGTCACAAAGGTATTGGTGGTTCCAGTTTACAAACAAATTTCTCTGCCAGCTCAGGGAATCTGCTAGATAGAGCTTTGGTTTCTTTTTTTCTTTTTCCACTTAGAATATTTACATGATTTTTCGAGATTTGCTTCCTTTAAATGATCTTTTAGTAGTTCTGAGTAGATAATTAAATATTTAGATCCCATGTCACAGGAAACGAGGGCTTTGCCAAGCATTAAGCTGATGAGAACCCTAGGATACAGTATCAGCCTAATCAGGAATTGCGCATTTAGAGCACACTCTCTGACCCCGTAACTGGAACCGAAAGCCTGTCCAATCATTGCATGCGCACAGACGCCAAAATTTATCCTGAATCCTTTGGGCTGATCCAATCTATTTGCTCTGAAATCTGTCCACCAGCGACTCCGGGCCACCCCCAAAATACTACAGTCTCTTACTCGTTTGCAAAATCTACCTTCAAAAGAATTATGAAATTCATTCCATCTCTGCAGCACAGAGGAGAGAAATTCCCACCAAGGAGAGGGGCTACAGGGAAAAGCGCACCACCAGCAAGCTGGGTCCAGTGTGCTAAGAGCTGGCGGTATAGAATCCGGGAAAGCCACGACATTCAGCTGAAGTCACCCATTCTCATGCGAGGTCTCCACCACCTAACCCCCAATGACGTCTGTGCGCACTGGCGCTCTTTACCGTGATTTCTAGAGAGAAACAGGAAGAACTCCTCCAAAACAACACCCAGCTTTCCAACCCTCCCGAACTTTAAAAGATCTGAGCCTCTGCCCTTCCAGGCTGACGGATCTCTTTCCAAGGAGCAAGGAAGAAGTAGAACACCAGAGATCAGAGGAAGAAAAGCGCCCGTCTTTGCTATCAAAACATTATTAAATTCATTCCTTTGTCATTCTGACAGTAATTGCGCTGAGAAGGATTGGAATTTGTTAAAATTACTTGAAAAGGGGTGTTGAGAGTTTTCTGCGCAAGAGGCCGGAGAGTCATGCACAGCCCTCCCCAGCTTTCCCTTGTGCGTCCCCGGGGGCCTGCGACGTTGGGCCCTCCTCTGAGGTCTGAAAGCACGAAGCCCTTGTCACAACACCCCGAGCATCCCCCCTGCCCCCGCAGAAAAGCTCAGCCCCCACATCCAGGTTCCGCTGTGGCCAACAGAGCCCGTTATCCTGGCTGATTCATTCCCGAGGCTTCTGTGCCTTTGTCATCGCCATAAACAGAGCGAGAACCAGGCACACTCACCGCTGTCCTTCTCCTAATCATGGCAGAGTGATCACAGGGCAGGCTTCACACCGGTATTGTGGGAGAGAGCCAAAAATAGTGTTATTCACTTAAAATTTCTGAATGTTCCCTTCCTTGCAGATCTCAACTCCAAGAGTTCGAATAAACTGTGATTTCGTGACAACACGGGTGACTAAAATTATGTTCACAGAGAGAGTCTCTCACCTCGGGGAGGGAACGATCCACTTACAGGGTGCCTGGCCAGGGCCGGCCCCAGAGCAGCCCCAAGCCAGGGGACCTCCCCCTTCAGTGTCCCAAGGCTTCGCCCAATGGGGCAGAGCATCCGAGCCCGTGAGCAGGGAAAGCCCTCTTCACCTGGAAAGCCTACAGGTTCTGTCAACGAAAGGCCTAGAGCTGCCCTCTGCACCCATTAGAATATGAGTGGTTTTCAAACCCAGAACATGCACCATGAGAAGCTGAATTTTTTAAAATATGTGTCTGGTCCAAAAGTCAAACACAGAGCGGCCATGTGACCTAGCAGTTCCGCTCCTAAAGCCAGAATTTTGCAGAAGGGAAAACACATGCTCATGCTATAACCTATATACGAAGGTTCAAAGCAGCATCGTTCACAGCAGCCAAAAGGTGTAAATAGCCCAAATGTCCACCAGCTGATGAAGAGATACACAAACGGGGTCTCTCCATGCAATGGACTAGTACACAGCCATAAAAAGGAGTGATAATCAATGAAACAGGACCCATAATTTTTCTCAACAACCCAGAGTGATTACTGATCATAACTTCAAGAACGAAGAACTACACATTTATTGGTGAAGTCCATGTTTCCTTGGGAGGAAAAGATGGCCACTTTTTAAAAAAAATTTTTTTTCTCACTTCCTTTTAATACAGAACTAAAAATGGCAACATTGCCAAGAATGCTATTTCCTTTCCCTTCTCCTTGTGGAGCTCCTCCTCAGGAGGGAGCAGACCATTTCAAGAAAAAGTCTGATTTTCGTAAGCATTCGAAAGGTGGGTGTGGCTTATGGGAAAACCCCGCCCTTGAAAGTGCAAGGTCACAATTTACATGCTGATTCAGTTCAGCTGAATAACACATATATGGAGCGACTACCACAGGTAAAGCAAATATAATGAAAGCATCATCCTTAGCACAAGCCGAAAAACCATCTCATGCCATCGTAACACTGATTCTTCTTTCAGACTCCCGAGCAACTGGTCTCATTACTCTTTCCAAGTCAGAAGAGCAGCCAACACTCAACGTGGCTGTTACTACGTACCAAGCCTGCTTCCAAGCACTTCTCATATATTCACTCATGGCCTTCTCTGTTAACCCTTACACCAGCCACAAGGTAAGTATCATTATTATTCCCATTTTACAGAAGAAGAGACTGAGGTTCAGAGTGGCTAAGTAACTTGCCCAGCGTCACACAACTGTGAAAGGGTAGAGCCAGGATGCAAACCCAGGTGCTCTGGCTCCTGATATCACTCTCTTAACGCCACAACGGCATTAATCCAGCCCACAGAATAATTCCACGACACATGCACAAGAACGGTAAAGCGCCCTGCAACCATTCAGCCTTGTGCAGAGCATGCGGAAGCGCTATCCAGCCATTCAGCAGAGTCGTGATCGCGAGCAGGGCAGGGCCCTCACCTGTGCACCACTCCAGCCCGGTGCAGGTGCTCCACGGCGGAGATGAGCTGCCTGATGTATCTTCGGGCTTCAGACTCCTCCAGACGCTTCTTCTCGTAGATCTTGTGCATCAGGTTGCCCCCAGGACACAGCTCCATGACCAGGTAATAGCTATTCTCCGTCTCCAAGATATCGAGGAGCTGGGTGATGTTGGGATGACGGATCATCTGCTGAATCTGCCCTTCTCGCCGAAGGTTCTTGGTGACGTAAGTGTCCTTTTTGGCTCTCTTCTTGTCAATGACCTTTATGGCCACCTGAGGAGACACCGAGAACATGGCTGTTGTCAGGCCCTGCAACCAGAGCTTGTTCCCTTCGCCATTCAAAAGAACCCCAGGGAGATACATAGCTACTCCTCTGTCCCAGGAGAAAAACCTGATTTAAAATGGCATCAAGGGGATGGGGCACCTGGGTGGCTCAGTCATTAAGCGTCTGCCTTTGGCTCAGGTCATGATTGCTGGGTCCTGGGATCAAGCCCCGCATCGGGCTCCCTGCTCAGCTGGAAGCCTGCTTCTCCCACTTCCACTCCCCCTACTTCTGTTCCCTCTCTTGCTGTGTCTCTCACTCCATCAAATAAATAAATAAAATCTTAAAAAAATTAAAATAAAATAGCATCAAAGGGAAAAGGGAAAGCTGTAACATCAGGAACCAGATCCACTTATTAAGGAAGAAAGTGAAATTAGGCCAACATCAATGGTCATCTGGAAGGTGCAGTGAAGAGTCAGTGATGACCACGCCCTGAAATGCCAGTTTCAACTCCAGCCAAGGGCCTCTCCTGGCTCCCTCTCAGGCTGAGCTGCCATCTGTCCAGGGGGCTGGGTTCCCCGGGGAATCCACTTCTGAAGGAGCAAAATCAGCCCGATCTTCAGTTCTAAGCTGTGGTTGGGGACATGGGGGATGCAACACCCTCTCCTTCCACCCACCCTTTCCCTGCCCTGCCCCAGGCCCCCTGGCCTCCAGCATTCACCTCATTCTCTTGGTGAGTTATGGTACAGGTTAGCTCTTGGCCCCCCATCAGGATCCCAGCTACCCACAGGACAGACCTCCTGGGTCACTGCCCCACAATCGACACGTCACACACACAGACCCTCCAGCTTTGTATAAAGGCAGGGAAAGAGTGGGGGGATTTTGCCTTTTCCAGCCAAATCTGCACCCCTTCTCTTCGGTGGCGTTCACCCCCCTGCTCACCGTGCCCTAAAACACACCACTGTTTTTGCCTTTTATGACTTCGCTCATCTTGCTATGCGAACAGCCGCTGACATCATGTCGATTCCTTCTGCTGCGGGCTTCTCACCACCCTTCCTCTCTGCCCATGCCACCGATCGGGTTCATTTGGAACCATGCCTCCAGCACCCGGACGCACCATCCCTGGGATCCTAACCACCCAAGGGACGCTCTCATGGAAGGCTACTGAGTCACAGGGTGCGGAACCTGAAGAGTGGCCCTTCCACTTGTATTTATTGCCTTTTGTGTGATTATATTTTATAACTTTCATGATATACTCAATACATTAGTACAGAGTTAGGACAGAGATCAAAAAATGAATGATTCATAGATGACTGATAGACAGTATTTGCAGTGAGGCGTTCACACATTATTTTCCTGACACAGGTTTGTGATTAAAATTAATTAAGTCGGGGTGCCTGGGTGGCTCAGTGGGTTAAGCCTCTGCCTTCGGTTCAGGTCATGATCTCAGGGTCCTGGGATCGAGCCCCGCATCGGGCTCTCTGCTCAGCGGGGAGCCTGCTTCCCCCTCTGCCTGCTGCTCTGCCTACTTGTGATTTCTCTCTGTCAAATAAATAAAATATCTTAAAAATAATAATAATTGGGATGCCTGGGTGGCTCAGTTGGTTAAGCAGCTGCCTTCGGCTCAGGTCATGATCCCGGCGTCCTGGGATCGAGTCCCACATCGGGCTCCTTGCTCGTCAGGGAGCCTGCTTCTCCCTCTGCCTCTGCCTGCCATTCTGTCTGCCTGTGCTCGCTCTCTCTCCCTCTCTCTCTCTGACAAATAAATAAATAAAATCTTTAAAAATAATAATAATAATAATAATAATAAAGTCTTGGGGGCACCTGGGTGTCTCAGTTGGTTAAACATCTGCCTTTGGCTCAGGTCATGATCTCAGGATCCCGTGTTCAAGTCCCACATCAGGCTCCCTGCTCAGCGGGGAGTCTGCTTCTCCCTCTGCCCCTCCCCCCGCTCATGCTCTCACATTCTCCCTCACTCACTATCTTTCAAATAAATAGGGAAAATCTTTAAAAATAATAAAATAATAATTAAATCTGGCCACCACTCACCTGGACTATGACATCAATGTCCTACCTCATTTCCCCAGTGCTTGTCTTGGCTCCCCTCGAAGTCACTCTATGCTCTGCCCTAAAATCATTGGGTCTGGAACTCCGATTTCTTGTGTAAATCTCTTCAGGACTTACCACTGCCTACAAGGCAAGGTCCACACTCCCTGTCCTGGCACTCAAGCTCTACCACCTGGGCCAACCCCGGCTGCCCTGGGCAGCCGGTCTCCTCTTTCTCCCAAACACACACCAGGTTACCCTCCAAGCTTGTGCTCATGCCACACACCCCCCACCCATCTGAACACTCCAGTCCTCGAGCCATTAACTCAAATCCCACCTCCCTCCCAGAGGGTGCTTTCACTCCTTTTCCCTCGGGCCCACCACAGCCATCAGCTGGGATCCCCCTGAAAGCGCCCATCCCTTGAAGCAGGGACCACACTCCTCCTCTCCATCACACACACTCTGCATAAACAGTAAGGGACCAACAGTTTACTACCTGAGCAAATCCTAAATATCTTTTTTTTTTTTTTTTTTGCAAATCCTAAATATCTTAATTTATTATCTCTTCTGGAGAGCAGAGTCTCACTTATTTATTTATTTTTTTTAGTTTGTAATTGACATGCAACAGCACAGCAGTTTTGGGTATACGACATCCTGATTTGAGATGGTGTCGAGCCTACAAATGGATTACCACGATAAATTTGGTGAACATCCGTCACTACACATAATTACAACTTCCGTGCTTGTGTGATATGAACCTTTCTGTCCTGTCTCAGCAACTTTCAGATACACAAGATGGTATCATTAACTAGAGTCATCGTGCCGTGTGTTATAACCCTAAGACTTACTTCTAACTGGAAGTTTGTGCCTTCTGAACCCCTTCATCCACTTTAATGGGGGATCTTCAGGTCCTTAATCCAAAGATATGATGAAGAGGGAACAATCAGCCAATGCACCACACAACCTGGGGGTCTGCTGTACCCCAGGTCAGCCTGGGGCTGAGTTTGTCCCCCCACAGTGGGTGAAGCTACACTGTGGCTGCAGTTTGGTCCCAAAGAGGTCAGGAAGTGCTAGACTAAAAGCTTTATAAACTATACTCATTTGTGACCCCCCAAAAAGAAAAAAATATATAGATACACATACACACACGTGCAAACACATGCCTAGACACCCACAGACATCCACACCCACACATACACTCCTATGTGTGTGCACGTGAGTCCCCGTGTGTACGTATCCATGGTCTCCTGGGGGGGGTGGGGAGAAAGGGATGCTGAGAAGTACAATTAGAGTCTCTGCTCAAGTCTGTGTGGCAATGTTTTAAAAATTACACCCTCTGGCAATGAAATTCTTCAAAGTCCTATGAACAGACAATAGTCTGAAAGCCAGGCGGTAATACGATCTGCCCTTTTCAACAGAGCACACAATAATTATGAGGATAATTTATTTAGCTCTTCAATCGCCTGTCGTAGGTCACGTAAGGGCCACCCATAGACTTTGGGTCCTACTCGCTGGAATGTGTGAATGTGGCCTTATTCGGCAAAGGCGAAGGATTTTGAGATGAGATTAATCAGGACTCTCTGAGTGGGACCTAAATGTCAGCTCAAGAGTCTTTATGAAATAGAGGGGCGGTGGGATGGGGGGGGGCATAGATTTCGCACAAATACCCAGAGGAGCAGGATGTGGGAAGGAGGAGAGACACGGTGAAGGCCCACAAGCCAGGGTGTGCCTCCAAGTCAGAGCCATCGGAGGGAGCACAACCCTGGCAACACCTTGATTTTGGTCCAATGACATTGACTTTGGACTTCTGGCCTCCAGAATGGAAGAGAATACATTTCCGTTCCTTTGAGCTACCACGTGTGCGGAGCTCTGTCTCGGCAGCTCCGGGAAACTAGTGCACCAGATGTGCCCCCTGTCACTGGGTACCTTGGGTCCCACCTTCTGCTGGCTCTGAGAGCCCCCTGGTGAAGACCTCCAGCCCCCAGGTCACCACACGAACGACCCCTCTCCATTTCCAAGCACCACCCCGTCCCCAGGCTTTTTAATTCACCCACGATACTCATCCCCTCTGCCTTGATAATACTGAAAATGGAATGCCGTTCTTGATTACAGCTTTCGGTTGTCATCTGTAACAACCGAAGTGGGAAACACTAAGTGGGGAAATTAAGGGAAAGGCAGTCAATGATCAGCAACGGGAGGGATCTAATTGAATTTGACAGTAATCAGAGATCTGCAGGCAGAATAGATCTAACGCTGATTCTACCCAGTGGAAGCCTGGCATGCTGATGGGTCTGAAAAGAGAAACTGCTTGAGTCAGGAGAGTTTTTAAAAAGTTAAAATTAAATGGGTACAGACTCGCTGAAGACCAAAGCCAAGGACCCAACTGGAAGCAGTTGTTCGGGGAGGGCAGGACAGGGTTGTGGAGGGAGTGTGGAAGCCTGGACGGCATCCCGAGCACATCAAGAGAAAAAGTCTTGCTGTGGAAGGTGAAATCAAGGGTTCCAGATCTTCACCAGAGTCAAGTTGCAAAGTCTCCCGAAGTCTTACCAAGGAATCCATTTTCCAAGATTGCCCTCAAGCTTCCAAGGTGAGTCTCCGAGTCTTGCGGAGGGCGGGGGGGGGGGGGGGGATGAGCAGAGAGAGAATAACACAGCTCCAGAGGACTCCAGCTGAAACAGGTTATTCACCAACTTCTCTCATTGAAGTAAGAAACTGCATTTCTCACAACCTGGCAACTCCTAGCGTCCTCCCCACCCCACCCTCCTCCCACCAAAAAAAAAAAAGAAGAAGAAGAAGAAAGGCCAACCAATGATGGATAAGATCAGCAAATTTAAATAGCTAAGCACCTAAGAAATGAAAGGAAATTCCCCCAAGGCCAAAATAATGAGTATTATCTACAATAACTGGGTGGCTATGGGGTGGGGAATAGAAGATACAGGAGAGGGGCGCCTGGGTGGCTTGTGAC